AATTCTTGTCTTATGTGTCTTAACTGATGCCATTGCGAGTAGGAAAAAGTAAACAGATAATGTTTAATATTTTTCCAATGTACAATGTATTTTTTATATAGTAGTTTTCTTATTTCTTCTACTTTTATATGTTTTTGTTTTATATTTTCATGTAAATTAGTTTCTATTTTGTCTATCAAACGTTTTTCTTTAGCCTTTAAGTGAAATGTATTTTTATTTGGTGCAGCTCCTAAGTTACATAGTGAGCCCCTGTTACAAAAGGGAAGAAATAAATAAATAAATAAATAAATAAATAAATAAATAAATAAATAAATAAATAAATAAATAAATAAATAAATAAATAAATAAATAAATAAATAAATAAATTAGAGCGAGGATAACGCACGCTAAAACGCAAAAGCTCATTGGTAGATGCTTTTATGTAAACAATGACACGCTATGTCACAGGTAGCTGCTCCACCGCTTTAATTAACACATCGATACGGCAGAACTACTGAATTTGATGGTGCAACTCATTCACCAATACTGTATTTATGCCAGATCTGTATATGGAATGAACACACTGGTCAAAATATAAAGTCGCTCATACTTAATATTGCTATAAAATAAATCTATGCTGAAATGTAGATTGCCACAGCACAACTTGAATTGATCGTTTCTTGCGTGGCGATATGGCTGATATGACAAATATTCTAAATTGCCTCAAGTCTAACAATAACGTTTACTATTACATTGTATGTCTAGCTTACTATCCTTCGCTATTGTACAATGTAAAAGTAGTTACCTTCTAATTTAGTACCACTTATAATACTTGCAGCCTCACCAAATCCAATTGATGTACTTGCTTTGACCGATATGTTAACTTTTGTACCTGGTGGTAAGGCCAGAGTATAGGAATGGGTGTCACCTTCCAATGTGACACGTTTCACCTCCAAGATGACGGATGTGTACACTGATTCCAACGCAGTGTATGTCAACTATAAAACAACCATAAAAACATTTGATACGAAAATCAATTAACAATGTATAAATTATCTAACCTAAATCATTTTAATTATTGTTAATATACCTTGTATTGTGTGATATTTCCTTTGTAGAGTATAGGGTCTGTCCATGATAAACTAACGGTATTGTCAGACACTGCCAGTATGTCAATACTTCCGGGTACATCTGGAACTGTAACAAAGGAATATGTAGCATAGATGACAAATCCTGAAATACTTGGTTTCAAAAAAATTTAGTAATATGAGTGTACACCAATATGTATCATAGCCCACATTCTACACCTATTGAAAGTATCAGTAATAAACAAGGTAAATCTGTATTCTTCACTACAAAAAAACCCAACTACATAACACAGTGACTATAGAAATACTGTCACTCATAAAAGACAATCCAAATGAATCAAATGGTAACCACTTTAAGCCCAACCGACTTTTATTGAGCTCTAAACGATCACTAACGATTCAGTCCCTCGTCACTTGTGTACTCTCAGTAAGTGCTCAACGAGCACGTAGTCCCAGCTCGAGGTTAGTCAATTACACAAACGGCGGTTTCCAAATTCAAATCCTGTCGATTTCTCATCGTATCATCAATGTCGGGCCCCTCATCAAGTCGGATTTAGGTCGGCCTGATTCTTCAAATACCGTCACTTTCCTTGATTTTAACCACAAATATGAACACGCCAGTTCCTTTACAGCCTCTGTCCTTCACGTTTCTAACCTCCATTCACAGCCCACAGTTTTGTGTGACTTCCAAATACATTACATTCTTGACATTCGAATCAAAAGAATTCAAATTATCAAAGTAAAATAAAGATACACAATCAACTGAGTTCAGAAAAAGACTTCTCGTCTCAGTGGAGGAAATAGTTGACAAAACACAACCTTTATAAAACACACACAGTTCGATTGTAATTTTAAACACACTTATCGGCTGATTAACTACTGAATAATGAGTCGGAACAAGATAAAGAATCGCTATCACAGGTTGTGTGGCCATAGGTAAATATATTCCCATGAAAACACAAACTTACACTTATAAAATCCTTCACAGCAAAATCAATGCAACAAAAAATGCC